TACTGGTAGCTTTACAATTGGTGAGATTATTTTTGAGGTTGTATAAGGGCAGGTTTGATCTGCACACTCTCATGAGAGCTCTTTATTTCCCAGGTGGAGGCATAGGGACCTGAGGGCTTCTGATAAGCAGGCTTTGATTTCTATAGAGCAGAAACTTTCAGGATATTGCATAAACAAATGCTCTTGCGAATCCTGCCAGCCCCCACCCTGCCCCCCTTGCTTAAGTGCAAATGGACTGCATTTGAGGAGGACAAGGAGCAGAACAAGGTTTCCCCACTAGGGGATTCTAAGATGCTCCGGACTCCAGATGTAATTGGTGGAGGGCTTCAGCCTTGCAGGCTGTCACGTCTCACAGTTGGAGTCCAGGGCTGGGCTGCTTGTTAAACTACTTCTGATCTATGACTAAAGCTGTTCTTTCTTCAAAAATAAATCTTGTTCTTCCATACCCCATGTGTTTCTCAGCCTCAGGAGCACTTCATGGATTTAGACCAATTTTAACATTACTTAGTAATGTTATCACCAAATTCTCAGTAGTCAACCCATGTCTGATGCTGTTGATTCATCTGTTCCATCTGAAATTGAGTGAATGCTCTGGTCGGAATGGCTCTCTGAAGTTAGGAAAGAATATTTTGGCAGTACTTTGACAAGGTAACCCTGACCCCAAATTATAATGACCTTAGTGGTCAGATAGAAGAGGGTTCCTCTGTGTTGGGCAGGTATCAAGTGTCTGAACACCCAGCAAGGTCCACATAAATTTGTTCCAGATCTTCGGGTGCCCAGTCACCTGCTCACTGGCTCACATGGCAAACAAGCTCTTTCACCTTGACGTTGCTAATGAGGGACCCTCGGATACCATGTCATCAGCCAGTCATGTCCATGTAGGCAGCATCTAGAGATTTACCAAAAAGATCATCAAGGTCAACACATAACATAGCACTCACTTATTACACCAACAGTGGATGGGCTGAAGTGTTTAGACCCAGGGAGTTTTTTCCCGTGGAAAGAAGAATGGATTTAGTCTGATGGAGACATCGGCATGAAGTTCTTGTAGATGTTGAGAACACCCTTAGAAAATGCAACCTCAGTGGGATATTCTCCCAGGCACCCTCAGCCTGGAGACTCCCAGCAGCGAACATGAAGCTGCACACCTGAGGGCACAGTCTGTGGCTCCCAGTCTGAGCTGAAGAGCAAGCATTGTGTGTGGACAGGTATGATTGGTGAGAACGAACAGGCTACACCGTGGGAAGAGGCCGAGAAGAATGCACTCCTGCTGAAAGGGTTAAGAACAAGCTTCTCAGCAGCACGTGTGGGAGATTATTGAAAAGGGACCAAAGAACAGAGTACAGCAAAGACTCCACTCTCTGAGAGGAGCTGAACTTTTGCTCACAGCAGGTGAGCACAGGCTCCCTCCCCCCCTGAGAGCTGCTCCCCTGCCGATGTGCAGTCTGTGAAGTAAACAGAGGCTTTATACTGAGAAAGGAACATTTCTCTATTTTGGCTAAGAGCTGTTATTTTTAAAGCTTCATCTTCCAAACCTTTCCCCCTATCCTTGTTTATTTTTTCACTAGAAAGAAAATGTGCTTCTTAAAAAAAAAAAATTCAACTACAGGACAAGAAAAACTCACTTCTAGTGTTCTCTGTCTGGTTAAGGCCAACTCACCCCTGGGTGTTACCACCTTATCACCCTCCTCTCTTGGAATGTAGCATCTGAGGTGTTCCTCTGCCGATGTAGATGGAGAGCTTTCATACACCTGGATTTCCACTGTCAAAGCAAAATCTATCACAGCAATTGCTTTCTGGGTGCTTCAGGTAAAAGGCCAACTTCTCCCTTGATATCTATGGATCGATTTATCAATCCATAATTAATAGTTAAATATGGACTCTGCTGTGAGCCACATATCATTCTAAGCACTTTCCATGAAACCTTCTTTACCTTTATCTAAGAATATTGTAACTGTTGCTTCCATATTGGTGTGGGTTACACTTGGGGAGATGGGCATTATTTGTAAGCGACTTTCTAGGCCTTTTCTGGGGAATGCATCCCGTTGTGTTGCACCTGTCTTTCTCCTTGTCTATTTTGTCCTGTTCTGGGTCTCCGTATTAATGAGGCCTGTGCCTTTCTTCTCTGTGCCGAATGCCTAGCTCAAAGCCTGGTATGTATTGGGCCCTCTATCAGTCTTTTTGAGTGACTTAAAGTGAAGCAAGACAAGAAGACAAAGAAAATCTTATTGTTGGAATTCTTTCTTCTGGTGTAGTGGTGTGGTTTGCCTTAACAATTTTGAGACCAAATTCCCTTATTTGGAAAATGAGAATAATGATACCAACCTTAGGGGGCAGATGTAAGAAGTAAATTAATTTATTAAAAGTACTGGCATATTTCAAGTCAGTGTGTTAAAGATGGTTTATTCCATAAAGGTGTTAAGAAAACTAATCAGCTGCCTGGGAAAATGTTAAGTTGAATCCCTGTCTCACATCTTGCATCAAGAAAGAGTCGCACACCAAAACCGGTTTGGCTCAGTTGATAGAGCGTCGGCCTGCGGACTGAAGGGTCCCGGGTTTGATTCTGGTCAAGGGCATGTACCTTGGTTGCGGGCACATCTCCAGTAGGGGGTGTGCAAGAGGCAGCTGATCAATGATTCTCTCTCATCGATGATCTAACTATCTATCCTTCTCTCTTCCTCTCTGTAAAAAATCAATAAAATATATTAAAAAAAAAAAAAAAAGAAAGAGTTGCATGACTATAAGAATTTACTAAAATCTATTGTATGGTAAATGGACTTAAATGAAATCTATGATAAGTAATGAATTCTGTCATAAGTAATGATATCTTAATAAAGTGTTTATAAAAAATAAAATCCAGAAGAACAAAGATTTAAACATAAGAATATATATTAGAACTATACTTGAAAGAAACATATGATAGAAATATTTTTTTATGTTATTGGAAAGGAGAGTGAATTTTTTAAATAAGACATACTATTCTAAAGCCATAAATGAACAATTTGATAAAATGTTTATATAATGATTAAATGTTTTGCAGAAGAAAATACCAGAAACCAAGTCAACAGAAAACATGACAAACCATTAGAAAATCATTGAGAGCACATAGGACAAACTGATAATTAGTACAATATATAAAGAGCTCTTAAAGAATCAATATGGTTCTGACTGATCTGGCTTAATGGATAGAAGTCAGCCTGCGGATTGAGGGGTCCCAGGTTCGATTCTGGTCAAAGGCATGTACCTTGGCTGTGGGTGCATCCCCAGTATGGGGTGTGCAGGAAGCAGCTGATGAGTTTCTCTGTCATTAATGTTTCTAACTCTCTATCCCTCTTCCTTCCTCTTTGTAAAAAATTAATAAAATATATTTTAAAAAAATCAATGTGAACATGACTAGCATCCAAGAAAAAGAGCAAACCTCTCAGAGAAAGAGCGTATACCAATATATTCTCCTACCAACAGCCTATTGGTACAAGCTCTTTGGAAACAATTTTTGAACTAATTATCAAAGTTTTAATAAGTCCTATGATATAGTGATTCTACTTCTAGGAATTTATTCTATAACTGTCCATAGATGTGCCCAAAGACATAAGCATGAGGGTAATTATTGCAGGAGCTGTTTGTAATGGCAAAATACTTGAAATCATACTAAATGTCTGCCAATAAAAAAAAGTGGTTAAAGAAATCACAAGTTTTTATTTTATTTTATTTTATTTATTTCAGTGAAAAACTATGCAGTTTTTAAAAAACAGTTGATAAAGAGCTTCAAGGTATATTAATTGAAAACAAAACAAAAAAGATACTGGGCATGTGTTTGGTGTTTATGTTTTAAATTTGTGTATATTTCATAAATATATCTTTGCATATGCATAGACTATTTTAACTTCTTCCTGTCCTTTCTGATTACATGTTCCAAATTGAGCCTATGAACAAAAAGATGAATGAGTTCCTTTTACATATATCATTTCATTTAATTTCTGCAACATCTGTATATAAATGATACTAAGATAGTAATTTATTTTTTAAATATGGCACGTGATGTATTGTGAGTGTTAAATTCTTGATGCCAAGGCTCTGTTCATAAGGAAAAGCCTAAACTTCCTATAATGATGTAGGACCTTCTTTGTCACCTGACCATTTCCTTCTTTCTCACATTAACCTATATCTTTATTAGATTAGCACACTGCTCAATATTCTTTCATTTGTTCCTCCTTTCCACATTTAGGACCTTCTTGCAGTGATGTTTTCAGTGAAATTCTACCTTCTCTTAAAGTGTAAACTCAATGCCACCTATTAAAAAATACTCACTTGTCATTCTCAACAACTTCAATGGTTCCAGTTCATCTACAGGCCATAGTTTTTAGAGTTCTTTTCTACTTCAAAAGCACTCCATACCACTCTGTTAAATTTGATTGTGTTATTTCAAGGCCATGAACATATTGAAACGGGAGGCCCTGTTTTTTGTTTTTGTTTAATTATTGATTTCACAGAAGAAGAGGGAGAGGGAGAGAGATAGAAACATCAATGATGAGAGAGAATCATTGATTGGCTGCCTCCTGCATGCCTTTCACTGGGGATCGAGCCCACAGCCTGGGCATGTGCCTTTACCAGAATTGAATCATGATCTACTGGCCGGGGTGGAGGCCCTGTTTTTATTCCCACAACTAACACAATATCTAGAATATAGGAAAAGATAAAAAATATTTTCTAGAAAAATTATTTACCTCAATCTTAATAATTTTTGATTACCCATAGGTTAAAGAATGCTATTCTTAACATACATATTTGGGGATTGAATATTTGAAATGAAAAAAATGGTTTATTCATGGGAAATCTTTTTGCCTTGCTTTCTATAATTCAAATGAATGTTTGTGCTTCATAAACAGAATGGCTACAGGTTTTTTTATACAGATTTGGAGCCAGTAGATATTTGTGAATATGAACCTTATCATACCTTCTGGAACTTCTATGTTTAATACTTTTTTTCTGTGTTTTCATAGGAACCAGGGAAAATGTGTAGAGGGCATGGTGGAGATCTTTGACATGTTGCTGGCTACATCATCTCGGTTTCGTATGATGAATCTCCAGGGAGAGGAGTTTGTGTGCCTCAAATCCATCATTTTGCTTAATTCTGGTGAGTTGGTAACATGTGAGAATTTAATTCTGGGTTACTGAAATATGTATTTCCAACCAGATGCAAGATACCTGCTCCAAAGGCATAATCATCAATGGAAGGAAACCACTGACAGACATTTAAAACAACCTATTGGCATTGTTGACTACTCACTGAGGTAGAACCTCAGTGGTCAAATATGATGAATGAAAAACAAAAACTGGGCATTGAATTAAATGGCCTTTTTGTTGAAATAGTTGCATCTTTTGGTAGATATAGGGGGTGTTTTTATTAAAGTGATTCATGTGTAGACATATGTCTGTTGACCAGTAGTTCAAGTTATGCTGTTGGAAAAATGGTAACCAATTCCAAGCTCCAGATCGTGAGAAAAGAAGCTTATTTGACACAGACTATATTGTTGGTCAAAACTGATTAGTTGAAAATATAACTGGCTCAGAGATATAACATCCTGGTCCTAAAACTGAGGCAGATGGAATGCAGTAAATTGGACTAGCTGAAAAGGAGTTTTTTCATTGGTCTTTGGTATCCAATTCAACTGTCCCCTCCTATTTATTCATTGGAGAGAGCTCAGCTGAGAGCACTTTTTTTTTTTTTTTTTTTTTTTTTTTTGTAGTGAGGTTGGCTGTATTATAAAAAGTCATGTCAGGTCGCCAGATGGAAATCATGGCTCAGCCTGAACTAGCACCCTACCTCTTCCCAGGCCTCCAGTATTTGGCTCTAAGCACTAGATCTCCAGTCTGTGGGACCTGAAACTTAACAATTGGGTGTCAGCTACAGTGTAGATGCCTTAATCTGGACCTTTGCCCATGATCCATGGCCCTCCTTCATGCCTCAGGCCTCATTCTTACATAGAAATCATAGGCATTTTAAAGCCCTGGGATGATTTAGATTTCCTTTCTTACACAATTAGATACTATCTCAAATTTTCCAGTAACTGATCTAACAGTCTATATTGATTACGGGTAGAGACCAGCACATCTCTCTCTTTTTAGATGTCTTGTCTCTTCCTGATGATTGGTGGTCCCTTCCCACTCCTCAACCCCCCTAATAATTTTCCATTTCTCTTCCTCACCAATGCTAGTAACCAAATACTTAATGGCCATCATAGTAATCATTCTCACTTATCACCAGATAAATGGAACTCTATACTATTACACCAGGCAAGGACTGAATTACAGAATGAAGTTACATAAAAAAATTAATGCCATCTATACTAAGGAAGTGATTATGACTCCATTCAAGTTTCTGGTCCCACTCACATGCACTGTGCTTTTCATTTTAGTCATTTGTCCTGGACATTGAAGGGTCCAGACCCTCAATGGCTCCTTAGTGGGTGAATGTTCTGGGAGCAGTGCCACTCGGCTGCTGGTACCAGGTCCTGAACCTGCTGCTGCTTCTGTGGAGGGCGGGCACATGCGCACAGCTTTCATGTGGGCAATCTTCTAACTTCAGGGAAAGCTGGCCTGTCAGGACTGGGACATTTCCCCACTTTACCAGGAAATAATATCCCAGACAGGAAGTGAAATTGGCGAGCTATATAATCAAAGCTATAACCTTGGTAACCTTCTGATCCATATAGCTTTTTCCAACATTATTGACCTGTTCCTGTGATTGGGTATATTGTAAAAAATATTATGTAAAAAAAGGCAAGACTTTTGCCATCAAAATTTTGGATTCATAGACCCATGTTTTTTTAAGTCCCAAAGGGGAGGAAAAAAAAAACACTTTTAGCCCACGTAAGAAAGTCTTTTATTAAAGACTAGCACCAAAGCCTGCCTGGTGTGGCTCAGTGGTTGAGCACTGACCTGTGCACCAAGTCACAAGTTCAATTCCAAGTCAGAGTACATGTTGAGGTTGCAGGCTTGATCCCCGGTAGGGGACGTGCAGGAACCAGCAGATAGACATTTCTTTCTGATCGATGCTTCTATCTCTTCTGCCTTTCCCTTTCTCTCTCTCTAAAATAATAAAAACATATTTAAGAAAAAAATATTAGCACCAGAATCTCAAGCCAGAATTTCCCACTGAAGAATTGCAGAATTTGGACCTCTACCTTATACCCCCCTCTTCAATTCCCCCCCCCCCCCATACACACACACTAGTTCAATGTTCCTACTGGATTCTCCTTTCTCGGGATCTCTTGTGAGCTTCCCCTGCACTTGAAGGGTTGGAACACCAATTTGGAAATGCAAGGCATTGCATACTGACAGAGTTTAACAGCTGTCTTTTGGTGAGATAGCAGGGTGACAGCTGGCTTGAGAGCAGTAACAAAACAGTAGCTGTCTCTCCACCTGGAAAAAGCGAGGTCACTTTTTCCACTCCCAAAACGAGCTGTGTTTCCGAAAAGCAGAGCTGCTGCTGGGCATAGCTCCCCGGGTTGCATATTGTTCCTGAGAAATGGGATAAAGGGGTCAGGTCTTTGAAACAGAATCGTGTATGGTACTGGACCCTTTTTCAGAGTAAAAAAAGCAGTCGGCCAGATCCTTCTCAGATCTCATCTCATTCAGGAAATCTACCACCCACGTTCAGGATGAGCTTTTCTTCTCTAGACTACTGTGGTTCTTACAATCAGTACCACACAATCTAGCATTTGGTTAGTTGGTTGTCTGATTTAATTCATTTATCTAACGATCCATCATTTATTGAATTCCCACTACAAGCTTTATTTCAAATATATGAAAATGTATGGTAGGGTTTGTTTTTTTGTTTGTTTGTTTGTTTGTTTGTTTTGTTTTTTGTTTTTGTTGTGTGTGTGTGTGTGTGTGTGTGTTTTACTTCAATCTGGATTGGTTCTTTATGTGCGGATGTCCTAATATTCCTTTAAGACATGAATCTCTTCTTCTGTATTCCTCATAGCCTTTAGCCCATAAATGGTCAACAAGCATCCCATCATTCGGTCACTTAATAGATACTCATTTGCTGGACACAACCAGGAGGACCTGGCAAGTCCCCATGTTCCCAGGCTATATCTACCGTTATAAAACCTATCCTTCTCAGCACACTGTAGATTGAGGCAACACCAAACCAGCTACTGGTAAAACAATGTCCATCCCCCTGGGTTACTGTGAGCTAATGGGGAAATTATGTCTAGACTGTCTAATGTAGTTCATTGAACACAGAAGACCCTCAATCAAGGACAGCTATCGTCATCGCTCTTGAAAATCTCTGGCTTAAATGGAGTCAGTTCATGGCTTTTTTCAATATAATTAAGTGCTTTTAGTTTAAAGGTTGCCTGTTGGGCTTAACAACTGTAAGGGGACTTTGGGGTAATACTAACCATACAGATCACCACTGTTTCCTGAGATTTTGTTATTGTGCATTTGATTATATGGAGAGAAATTTTAGCACAAGACTTATCCCCTGGATAATAATTGATTGTTATTTGAATCTTCATATTGGCTGAACTCAAGGAAAATTGAGGTGAGTCTCTTGCTATCACCAGGCACTCAATTAGCTGCTTCTTTTCCCATATGTGATCCTCATAAACCCCTGGGAATCCACTCCTGTTCAGGACAAAATTCTTTCAGTGAGTGTTTTTCATGACTCAGAAAAAGTCACAGGTCAAGCTTAATTAGTATAAACCTATATTCTCCAGGCAATAGTTTAAATTGAATTGAATACTTACATCTATCCCTTTTTGACCAAAATTCTTTATATTTCCCAGTAATTCAAAGATTCTCATACACTTCATTCCTTGGTAACTTTATCCAGCTGGCTCCCTGGAGAGCCTGTGGGACTCCCGAGTCAACATCTCTGTTATCTAGTAGACTCACTCTCCTCTCCTGACTCCCAGATCATCCCAGATACCTGGAGGTCTTCTCTGTGCCTACTGGACCCCCGTCTTCCCTTCAGTAGGTGCATCTGTTGCTCCTGAAATGTCTCATGCTACCGAAATGTTGTACTCTTCATTACCTATTCATCCCAAGCGGATGGATCTACAGACACTTCTCTCTCAGTTGCAGTAGTGAAGAGGAGGAAAGAGCCAAAAGTCATAGAGTGAAAAGTTAAAGAAAAGAGAATCCCAGAAAGAGTTATGGCAATGTCTCTAAAATGTACACCCTGGTGTTCATGAGAGGAAAGGGGGCTATGGAATGGTGAACAGGATCATATACATTCAACATCAGCATACAAACAGCACCAGCTGTTGTCTCCTCTAGTTCTGGTTCTCTGCTTCTATGGCCCATCTTGTTATCTCGGTGACTTGCTAAAGCATAGGATGCTGGAGGGGGTGACGTCCTTTGCTTTACCTGTGTGCACTGGGGGCCCCACTCTGGTCAGGGAAGCATTTATTTCATGAAAAGTTATAACAAAACTTTTATCACAATGGATGTTTTCATTCTTCGGATCTGCCTTCTTTGTACTCTTATTTATTAGACAATTATTTAGAGCATTTACATGTTTACGTTTAGAAATAAGATAGTGATTCAGTGTTGGCATATTTAGATACAAGAACATTTTGAAAACGTATTGACAGTTAGGACCATTCATTTTCAGTCCTGAAAGGTCAGGCCTTGGAAAGTGCAAATAGGCATAGTGACAGGTCTGCCCATTGTTGTTAGGTGAAGGAGACTTCATTGTATTGATCTCTTGAGTTCTTTATGATGCAGGCTCTCTCTCCAGCTTCTTGCTATTATTTTGAGATAAATGGCACTTCATGGTTATTAAGTGGTTCATTGTCTTCTCCTGGCTGACTGGGTTCTGTAGATGGTCACTCAACTGTAGGAACCTTTCCCTGCTACTAACTTCTGGGCAACATGGAGCATACTTCACGGGCTCCCTTAATTTCCTGCCAACTGGTCGTGGCATGGACTTGTCATGGGGGAGGCAGCTGTGCCACTCACCTACGACTATGGGGGTGGGGAAGTGATGTATTCGGATAAGCTGTATTCCCGAGCCTCAGGTAGAAAACGGAAATAATGATACCAACTAATGGAATCCTGGTGACTACTGAGAGAAAGACATATAGTATCTGGCACACAGTAGATGCTTTATTCATGCTCTTG